ATGAGCAGCATCATTAGTGGAGCTACGACAACAGCATTTCTGTGAAAACAACATGGTGTGATGAACTAGATGAACTTGATTATCTCATGATGCAAATATGTGAGGTGCTTTTGTTATGATGCCACAAATTAGTGAGAGTTTATTGTCAAACTAATAGGCATTTCTATAGGAAAAATGCATTACAGATAACAGTTGATAACCCTTATTCCCACAATAATACTTGCTCAGGTGTTTTTTTAGTTAACTATAGTTTTACTTAAAAATTAGGACCCATACTTTTTACAGACTACTCTTTTGTTCTTATTTTATTGAAATGAACTAGACTGCGACTGCAGTCACTCACTTCATTCATTTTAACGAGCTGATTAATTTTATTTAGGTCAGTTCAGTGTAGTATAGTATTAGTATTATTTATATACTATTAGTATTTATGAATATAAATATTGAATACACTTTTATTTTGTATATTTTTGGGTTTCATTTTAACTTTTGTTTAAGTTTTAGTAATGTTGGTATGTGCTTTTGTATGTGCTATGTGCTTTTTTAATAATTCTATTTAGCTTTATAGTGCTTAAACCAAAAATTATTTTATTTCAGTTAGTTGCCAAGGCAGCATTTCTCATTTTAGTTTTTTAAGTTTAAGTTTGCCATCTAATATATATATGTATGTATATATATATATATATATATATATACTATTATATTTTATTTCAGCTTTATTTGAATGACAAAAAATTCTAATAGTTTTAAGTTTAGTTTACAATAACAAAACTGGGTTTAATTAATTAATTAATTTTTTTATTTAATCAACTTAAAACTATTTGGCATTTGTTTAGAATAGATTAATGGCACGCTTGAAAACTGATTAATATTTTGAAATATATTCAATATTTTACTCACTCTACCATAGATCCAGAGGGGCTCATGCAAGCTTTATATATTTTATTTCAGCTTTATTTGAATGACAAAAAATTCTAATAGTTTTAAGTTTAGTTTACAATAACAAAACTGGGTTTAATTAATTAATTAATTTTTTTATTTAATCAACTTAAAACTATTTGGCATTTGTTTAGAATAGATTAATGGCACGCTTGAAAACTGATTAATATTTTGAAATATATTCAATATTTTACTCACTCTACCATAGATCCAGAGGGGCTCATGCAAGCTTTAGAGGAACTTGACTATCTTGCTGCTTTGGATGATGACGGAAATCTGTCCGAGATTGGAATTATCATGTCAGAGTTTCCTCTCGAGCCACAGATGGCTAAGACTTTGCTTGCGTCTTGCGAATTTGACTGTGTGAGTGAAGTGCTGACCATCGCTGCCATGCTAACAGGTAATCCTGTCTGAGTACAATCCACTCAACAGGTGTATCACCATGTGTCTGCATTTCCAATATATCTGTGCTCCATTCAGTTATATTTGGAACTCATGTCAAATCTCTGAAGTTGTACCTTCAATTTAAAATTTTTTAGATAAATCAACCTCTAATGATACATTCAGTCACTCCTCCAACTTTTATTATGATAAATATTAAATTAAAAAACTAAATATTTTTTATTATTATTATTATTATTATTATTATTTACAAATATATTTATGATTGATAATAAAGCTTTTAATTGCTCTTTGTCTTTGTAATTTAGCTCCAAGCAGTTTCGTTACACCCCCAGTGGAACTGAGACAGAAGGCCTTACTGTGTCATAAGAGGTTCCAGCATGCAGAGGGAGACCACTTCACCCTTATTAACATCTTTAATGCATACAAATATGCTAAGGAAGGGTCATGTGAGTTATTTTTGTGCATTAAAGCAATTAAATGAAGCCACATAAGTCTATAATTCATATGCATATCCATTAACAGCCATTATTGTGAATTAAACAGGACAGTAAACAGTAGCTGACTGACAAAATCTATCCATTCTAATATATAAAGTGTTAAATTCACATTCACATTTGTATTTTAGACTCTAACGTGGAACGATGGTGTGAAGACCATTTCCTCAGTCTGTCTGCTCTTCAGACAGCAGATGCGATACGCTCTGAGCTAACAGAAATCCTGAAACGACTAGAGCTGCCAGTGTCCTTACCTGCCTTTGGCTCTAAAAGCAACAGCTTGAACATCAAACATGCCCTACTAGCTGGCTTCTTCATGCAGGTATAGATATATAGAAATTATATACATAATAAAACACTTTGGTAATATATCAGGGCCTTTCGCACCGCTTTAGTTCCAGAACTAAATGTACAGTACTAAAGTACTGGGCGATTTTGCAAGAACTATTTCCCAGGACCAATTTAAGGGTTGCATTCGCACCGACAGTGTGTACTAAGAAGTGATGTAAGCCGGTCGACAGCGATGTCATTTTTTTAGTTCTGGTACTATGAAAAGGTTCCTGCGGTGCGAAAGGCCCTGTTGTGCTAGTTCTCTTTCAAATTATTGCATTGGGACAGTAAGGTCTGTGATGAAGGCAGATTAGCAAATGGCACAGTGTTTTACATATTTAAGTGTGTTCAGTGTCTAAAATACTGCCCGTGTGCTGCTCTAATGCATTTTACGTTGTTTAATCTCTGTGGGGTTTTCCAGGTGGCGAGGGACATTGACGGGTCAGGGAATTACTTCATGCTGACCCATAAACGTGGCTCAGATCCACCCACTGTCTGGCTACGGAACCGAGATGCACAAGAAGAACTTGCCGGAATGGGTTCTGTACCATGAGCACACGCTGTCAAGAGAACAACTGTATCAGAACCGTCTCTCAGATCTCAGCACATGAGTAAGTACTGGATCATCTGCTTTGTTTCAGAACTAATACAGCTGGAGCTCATTATTCATTATTCTGCTCTGTTCATTAAGCTATAATGATTCCAAAAGACAAAAGCTCAATACTGACTGAACATATACAGTACGTGGCAGTAGTTTATCTGCTTATGATAGAGCAAATGTATCTCATGAGAAAACATAACTATTTTATGAGGTGCCGATTTCATATCAATTTGTACGAAAGCATGCAATTTTTAGAATAAAAATAAGCAAGATGGTCCACCCCTAAACCTAACCATCAGTGGGGAGTAAGCAGATTGAACAAAAACGTACGAATGTGATCATATGAATTCATAAGAATTAGCCACTTCTTCACCACAATGTAAGACAGTGATGAATTGCCAAAAGAGACAAGAGAACTTCAGAATTCTCTTAATTAATCTTATTAATCATGTCACATTGTTTTGCTAGAGGTTTTTAAATGCATTGTTTAGAATTACAAATTTATTAGTACTGCTGTGTAGTAGTTAATGAATAAACTGTCGTTGACTTTATGGTGTCTAAAATGTGCTTTTTTAACTGTAGCTACTAGTTAGCATTTTCAAGTAATATATAAAAAATGCAGTGTGGTTTAGCCATGTGCATCATAGTATCATTAGACATTAATTTCCTTTTTGCATTGATTATGCTTCCCATTGGCTAGTGAATAGTTTTTTTTAAATAATTATTATATATGTATTTATTTTCAAGGTATTTGTTCAGCTAATATAATATTTTGATTTCATATTAATCCCACATTCACTGTGATATTTTACATAAAATAAGACGTTTAAAAATGTATTTAACTTTTTGTAAGTGGTAGTTCTTTTTTGCCAAGTGTCTCAAACTTCTTATTCATACTGAATAAAGTCCAAAAATGTTCTGAAATTATATAGGACTTAATTCGTCATATCTGTTAAAACTGTTACATAGTGAATACTTGCCAAATATCACTGCAACTTTAGATACTATTACGGTAATATTCATTAATGTTTCACATCAAACCGTAAACATCAAGGGTGTCATTTTAAAACATAAGCAGAAAATGGTGACTGTTTTTATTTAGACGCTTCCTGTGGTCACACGTTTTATGACGATGTTGATAATTGATGTATGATATAAATTTACATTTGATTGAATAAAAGCAACATTGTGTTAAGTTTTTTATCACTGTTTTGATGTTTTTATGGATTATTTAATGTTTAGTGTGTTGTTGCAGACTTGCAGTGTATCGTCACACAACTGTTCAAACTACAGATCCAGTTCACTCATATTATGACAGATGGCAGAAGCAGATTGTAAACAAAGTTTTTGATTGGCCAAACGAAAGCCTACGTCGTCCACAACGCTTGGCAGACGACGCGTCTCGTACGAGTGATCTAGTTTTTTTGTTGCGTCGCTGTTTGCAACAAATGCGGTATTAAATCTAATAAGATAAAAAGACTACGGATGTAGTTTGTTTTTGCGTGTTCTTTTTTCCTAAAATGTCTATTTTATCATGTTATTTTAGATTATCAGCTACTCAAATAGTTTGTCAGCGCTAGGCATGTGGAAATTGGCATATTTCAGAAGGATGCCGTGAAAATGTTTCATCTGAGAGATGGGCACAGCAAAAAGCAGGATGAAAAAAGTCGCACCAGTAACCGAGGACAACGTCTGTAGCCGCGGCATTCACCGGGGTGAAAGTCAGCTGTTTGGTCCCTCAAACACCAAAACCTCAGATCGGCGCCTGACAATCAGAAGGAGAGCCCAGGCAGACTGTAACAGTGAGGGGCAGGACTCTTGAGTTTTCAGCCGACGATCTCGCGGTGGAAGTGGACAGAATCCTCGCTGAGTGTGTCAGCAGCACTGATATGTCACTGAACAGGACTTCTTATAAGATGCCAATGTTTGGATCGAACTCTTTAGGGCTTTACTATGCCAAAGGCCAAGACAGCAACAACGTCTACAGTGGCAGTACACGTGACAACAATTAAATTAACACAGTGAACAAACCAACCTCCAATCATGAAAAGGTAGGACTGCTGTTAATTTTTAAAGTTCCATTAAAATGCTAAGGCCTCACCTTTTTCCATTTGGCCAGTGACAATGGCAACTAATCAATGATACATTATTAATAGAAACTATTAAAGCCATTAAGTAATGAATCCCTATCCAGTGAGGGGCAGGACTCTGAGTTTTCAGCCGACGATCTCGCGGTGGAAGTGGACAGAATCCTTGCTGAGTGTGTCAGCAGCACTGATATGTCACTGAACAGGACTTCTTATAAGATGCCAATGTTTGGATCGAACTCTTTAGGGCTTTACTATGCCAAAGGCCAAGACAGCAACAACGTCTACAGTGGCAGTACACGTGACAACAATTAAATTAACACAGTGAACAAACCAACCTCCAATCATGAAAAGGTAGGACTGCTGTTCATTTTTAAAGTTCCATTAAAATGCTAAGGCCTCACCTTTTTCCATTTGGCCAGTGACAATGGCAACTAATCAATGATACATTATTAATAGAAACTATTAAAGCCATTAAGTAATGAATCCCTATCTTTCCTGGCTTTCTGAACAGGTCAGGCCTCCACAGGACCTGCTGAGCTGTGCCAACATAGAGAACACAGCAACAGCTTCGTAAGTGTATTCCATCAATTATTGATCTGAACTTAGTGACACACATCATTTTCAATGAAAGAAGTTAGGTTGTGTCCAGTGCCATGCTTGAGAGTACTGGTCTGTAATGTTAAAATGTTAATAATGATTAAAAAGAAAAAGAAATATTTATTTATTTTACTTGTATATTTTACAACACATTTTATCATTTGATGACTTCAGATGTCTACTGAAAATGAAAACCCTCTGTATAAACTGAAATCTTCTCTTTTTATTTTTAGAGGTTAATAAAATAAAAATAAATCATGATGTGGTAAACACTTTACAATAGTGTCCCATTAGTTAATGTTAGTTAATGCATTAACTAATACTACCTCACAATGAGCAACACATTTGTTACAGAATTTTAAAATCTTTGTTAACGTTAGTTAATAAAAACACAAATATTCACTGTTAATTCATGTTAGCTCGGGTCCATTCAATAATATTAACAGACACAACTTTTGATTTTAATAATTTATTTTTGAATTAACATTAACTAAGATTAAGAAATGCTTTAGAAGTATTTTTTTATTGTTAATTCATTTTAACTAATGTAGTTAATGTTAACAAATGGAAGCTTATTGTAAAGAGTTACCAATGTATTTTACCTGTATATTTTACAATAATTTTTATAATTTTATGATTTTAGATGTCTATTGAAAAGCAAAATCCCTGTATTAACCATAAAAATCTTTTTTTTTTTTATTAATCAGGGGTTCTGGAATTGGTGGTGGTTCATCTGTGGCCTTGCCTATCATGTATGATGCTTCAGAAGATGATTTTAGATGTCTATTGAAAAGCAAAATCCCTGTATTAACCATAAAAAAACAAAAAAATTTCTGGAATTGGTGGTGGTTCATCTGTGGCCTTGCCTATCATGTATGATGCTTCAGAAGAGGACCTCATGAACACAATCGAGAGAGAGTTAGGTTAACAACCACGATGATCTTCTGAGACAACTAAAAGGGAATTGATGTATGAGAAGGATTATTGATAAATCACTACAAAGTATTAGGATCATTTTTATATTAATCACTGATGTTTTGGCATGAAATGTTTGATTTTAAGATATATATACAGGCCTACCTAAAGTGATTTCATTTCAGATTACCATGCTCTCAGGAAGGCTGCTAAAGAAGCCTGTAATTCTTTGAGAGACTGGATATGCCTTGTGGTTCAGGATGAAGTTTATTCAGTTTAAGTCATTATTCTAATAAAAAGGAAAGAAATAAAACATATACTTTGCTTTTGACATTTTTGAAGAATAATATTCTGTAAAGCAGCTTGCCTGAGAGAAAATCATATGGAGTGGATAATTTAGTTCCATTTCCTGACCACATTTCCAAAATCCTCCACTCGTCTAAGACAGGAATTCACATCAGCAGTTTTAGAGGCTCCATGGAGGCCCCCTAACTACCCTAAACTACCGTGATGTATGTTCACCAGATTGAATAACCTCCAAAATGCTGAATACAATTTATTTTGAGGCACAGTGAAAATCATGCAGAATCTGGTAATGTGTAGCTTTAATTAACATAATTTGGTTCATTTTAGATAGACCCTATTAGTAGCTATAACAACAGCATAAAAAAACTAAATTTAATGTGTGTTAAAAATATGTTTGTTTTGTCGACACCGAAAGCTGTCGTATTTTCTTTCTGACAGTTCAGTAGGATGGAGACGAACATCGGTATGAAGACATCCTGTAGTCTCCTTACTAGACTTGTCACTATGTTTAAAAATATTTGATGTTTATTCTTGTATTAGTGATAAGCTAATCGTCCAGCAGAACAAAGGTAAACACTTTGATAAAGGAAGAGCAGTTCAGTTTTGTAGGCTGTTTTGTCCTGTCAATATTAAAAAATAGATATATAATAATAATAATAATAAAGTTAAACAACCTGGCCTATCATAGCAGAAATTATATAGGAACATGGCGCGTTTAATTTTAAAATTGCCTTTTTACTCATTCGAGATAAAGAAAAAAGACATTAAGCTATTAACCACACAGTGTCGCTGTTGCTGCATTATTGGACAGTCGATTAAAGGCTCATGAGTGAGGAAAGTCGGTCAGTAAGGCAGGAGGCGGGGCACCGTTCTGAAAGCTGATTGGTCGCGCCTCCCACAACCACAGTTTGTCTTGTAATCTGATTGGTCCTCGTTTAAACTCAGTAGTCGAGAGTGCGCCACTGCTTATTTTCCATTAAAAACAGTAACAGTGGTCTGAGCAATAATTACATACATCCGGTCTCAATCTCTGAGGGAACATTAATAATATTGGAAAGAACACGATTTATTCTCTGCCTGCGGTAAGCAATAACTTTTTTTGTAATTTCACAATGTACTTTCCAAAACTTGTTTTTCCACATCGGAACTGCACGTGTTTGGCAAATAAATAGAGCTTTTCGTCTGGATTAAGGGCCTTATTACTGACACATAAAATACATAACTTACAAAAATACATATACATATTTAATTATATATATGTACACATATAATTATACCTTGTGAGAGAAGGAATTAATGACATCTTTTAAAACATGTCAACTGAAATGTCTTAGTAGCCTATGTGTCTTTATAATAAAGGAGTGATCTATTCTTCATTCAAGGGAGTTTCTTTTAAATTAATTTTGTACATTTTTTCTGAGGGTTGCTGGCAGTGAACAAAATGACTTGTGTCAACTTGCTGCTGATAAGGATTAGTGGTGATGCATGAGACAAAAGATCTAGTGCACTTGGACCTCACGAATCTGACAGGAAGTGGATGCATCATGGGTGTGTCAGCAATGTGAGAGTGGAAGTTCTGTTACTGCCAAGAGCAGCGAGAAGCAGAACTGAACTACAGCCAGAACACTCCATCCCAAAACCACATAGGAGTTGGTGAATTTTACTTTTGCCACAGATTCGTTTTTTACTTTTTCAATTTCAGCTCTTTAGTGCTTAAACAAAATGACAAAAACTCACTTAATCTTCATAGTTTAATTTAAAAAAAAAGAGTATTAAATAAAAGTAGTATATGATAATCACAGTGTAGATTAATTATCCACATATACATTTTTACATATTTTCCTTTTTCTAATTTTGTGTAGTTTAGCATACATTCCCACTAGATATGTACATATAAATGTATACAAAAAAAAATAAAAAGGAAGAAATTAAGACAAACATAGTACAAAGACTTTGGCAAAAGAGTGCATTAATCTTTTACACAATAGGAAACAAAATGTTCAATTGCAGAGTGTGAAATATGTGCAGCAAAGACTGGAGTCCAGTGCATAATCACGTTTTTGCCCATGAGAGAATCAGCAGCCTTGCCCTCATAAAGTGAGTCCCTGCATAACATCAGTGAGAGTTCAGACTTTAGTCTCAAAGAAAGTCAGTTCGAGGCTGGCAGCAACATGCTGACCGGTAGTGCTGTGCTAATGGGCAAGGCCTTGGTTGCGGTGATCTTGTTGAGGTTCCGCACCTCTGTTTGCCAGGATGGAATCTTCTTGGTGGTCATGTGTCGTCGTGCATGCTTGGTGAGGTGGTCACTTCGCATAAACCGTCGGTCACACACCGGACAGACAAACTTCTTCTCGCCCGTGTGTGTTCGACGATGCCGGGAGAGCTCGTCAGATCGAGCAAATTTCTTATCGCATCCTTCCCAGTTGCAGCTAAAAGGTTTCTCTCCTGGAAGACAGAAGACTTGTTAGATGACCAACTTGACCTAGACATTAGAGGTTGAGACTACATACTGAACATTATTTACCTGTGTGGGTTCTGAGATGCGCCTTGAGGTGAGAACTTTTAAAATAGGTTTTCCGACAGCCTGGGAAATTGCAGACATAGTTGCGCCTGCGGGAAAAGTCGACCTGTGTAGCGCTGCTCTGTCCCGAGGGCACGTATACAGGTGCGGGAGCCAGAGGCAGGAGCTTGGTGTTGCCTAGGGTCATAACAGTCTGTTGGCACTGTGGAGCCGAAGAAACTGGTGACTGCGGCATTACGAACATCACCGTCCCCTGAGGCACTGGAGAGCCCATCAGGAGCTGCTGTGGTAAGATAGACTTCACCCCAGGGCTGGGATTCTGAATAAACGTGGCTGAGATGACTCCAGGTTGGGCCACCGGGAACATTTGGCATATGATTGGCGGACTGGAGGTTGGGGGCGGCGACTGAGCAGATGATGTAATGGAGGGCTTATCAGCCTTAGAAGGACGTCTGCTGATGTTTTGGCACATGCCTCCTGTAGGGGCGTCGGTCTCGGGTTGGTGGGATAAGGTGGGTGATGAAGGAACTTTCTCAGTCTTTTGTGGGTGGACAGCTTGTGGAATGTTCTGATATAAGGAGCTGTCGGCTGTGTGGCGTATTACGCTGGTTGCCATGGCTCTGCAATGTGGGGGGGTGTTTTTTTCTGTGGGGTTCCCAGAAAAGGGCATCTGAGTGATGGAGGTCATGGTAGGGCATGCAGATCTCAGACTCGGGAGGCTGGGACAGGGCCGGGCCAGCGGGGAAGGCGGGGCTGGCACTGATGTGGTGTTGGAGGTGTCAGTAAAGTTGGGGCTGTGTGGTGGGGTCATGCACTGCAAGGAGAGAAGGCAATTGGAGTTAAGAGGTGCACAATATATTGGTACCATATCGTCAACAGCCGATATTAGAGATTTTTTTTATTTAGCAGTATCAATATTCAATATATAAAGACCAATATTGTATTTTATTTTATTGTGCATGCAATTAATTACTTTTTTCTTTGCATTTTTATATATATTTTGCGGTCATCTTAACACACATAAAGTTCATCTTTAAAAACACTAATAATTTAATACTATTGTTAAATATAATCTTTTTAGGGATGCACCAATATTAAAATGGCCAATAATGGTAAGCTGATTTTTATTTTTATGTTACAGCCGACAACCGATAAATGGCAGATATTAAAATTGTAAAAGTAATAAATACAAAATAAAACACTAAAAACTAAAAACTACAATTTTAATTTACACATAAATATAAATATTATAATGTACAGTATGACAACATTTATTAATTTTGAGATTTGTATATTTAATTGTGCATGCTAATTTTCTGTTTATATTTAGATTACCTTAGATTAACTTAAAAGTTAAGCTTTCAAAATAAATTAGCAAATCTCAAAATTAATATAAATTTTTAATACTGTACATTATAATGTTTTGATGTCTAAATTCACATACATTTGGTTTTAGTATTTTATCTTTAATTTAATTTACTTTTTTATTTTTTAAGTATAAAAATATCGGCTATTTATCTGTTATACACCATAATTATCGGCTTATCTGTCTCGGACATTTAAATTGACGCATCCCTAAAAAGCAAGCTCTTTGGCAAACAACTAAATCTCATTGTGGAATTTTATATGGATGACTGGCTTCTCTATTCAGTAATATCATAGCTGTACTATTTTGTCTGTTCATCTCTCAGCATCATTACAGCACGGGTGATTCGTGTAATCACAGTGAAGGAGCCTGTGCTGAAGTTCAGTTTGCAGATGTAGCTTATCTCAAGACTTCCACCTGTCCAGGGTGTCATAAAACCCTCCCAAAGTTTTCAGCAAACAAATCAGGTTCTGATAAGAGCTTTGTGCTACACCATGCGGCGCCAGAAGACTGTGAGGTTCCCCGGAGTGAATGTTGACAAATTAAACAGAGCTTGAAGTGTATATATTTTATCTTCTAGCAGATAATTCAAATTAAAGATGACTTACCAGTGAAGAGAGCGAGACAAAGTCCTTTGGGGTCTCCGGCGGTTCGGGGTGCAGGAG